TTAATGATTCAATCCGATGTGGTCAAGGGATCGACAAAGTATGAGGTTGTCTCGATCATCTGCGCATGTTCCAGCCCCCTTAAAGGAGTACATATTGCACGATCACATATGTAGTCGAGGCCAATTTCATGGGTAACCTGCTGAGCTTTAGACGTCGCACTCCTTTGTATCTGCGTTTCAGCCATGGATTTTGGACGATTAAAAACCCGAGGCAACGAGCCTTCATCGAGCTCCGCGTGCATCAAGAGCTTCACCGCCGGTTTCACCCACAAGAAACTCATGGAAACAGCAGACAAGAGAGCCTTGCCTTCACGTTTGGCCCAGAGCGGCATCGAACACCAACCTGGGGGGGATGGTCGATCCGTCTCATCGCGAGACGAGGCCGTCAAAAGCAAATGTGGAACACTCGGCGCGAAAGCAAGGTCTGGTCTGTGCGAGAATCAGCGGCACACGGTCGAGTTCCCAAGACCGACACCTCTATCGAGCGCACTCAGATCACGGAACTGGACGTCGATATGAAATAAATTTCTAAGTGTTTTCGAGAATTTTCTATTTATGATCACTCGTTACATGTAGTCTTCTCGAAGAAGAAATTTTCCTTTCCTAAATCATCACATTGAACGTTTTATTCCGGAGACCAAAGGATCTCATGCCGATTTGGAAATCTCATCGCTTCGCATCGAGTCGGACGGAGATAAAGTACGACGGCTCCTCAACGACTATTCATCATCCCTTTATTTCGTGCACAAAATGAATCCCTCTCTTCCTTCCTCCCGTCCACGATGCGGAGAGGAAGGAACAATGCACATGCTCCTGACTTGTCCCGTCTGCAAAATATCCCATACAAAATCTCCTGTGATCTACGACTCGACGTTACGATTTTATTTCATCATTTTCCTGGAAGGGTTTCCTTTTCGAAAACAACTTGGGACTAATAGACTGCCTGTTGACATTTCCCAAAAGTTCCATTTAGGCCAACAAATCATACATGTCAACCTTAACGAATATGACTTCTCCACCAGACCATATTACCATTTTTCAGGAACGACTGATGAAGATGAAGCAGGACTCGAGTTTCATCGACGAGCAAGGCGGTGACCGTGACCGATTTGAAACCTTCTGGGGACCGGACCGGACCCGACCGGACCCCCCCTGGCACGAGTGGACGCTAACGAACAGCTCATCGTGACACCCGACATTCACGCTTGCCAAGGTTCTCAAGGTTCTCGTCCCTCCTGGAGGCGGGGGCCCGAAACAATCATACCGGTCTCCATGTTCTCCGGTTCTTTATTCACCGGACAATATATAGAAAATTCCTTTTGATGCCATCGATGAACACGACGTCCCATATTTTTATTATTCTGATATGATGTAATTTATTATTTTTGACATTCACGCATTGTCGATGATGTGAATAAAGAACTTTTGAAACCTCCCGAGACCAAGACTCGATTTCGGTGCGATCAAAAGGATGGGAAAGTGGGTACACCATACTTTGGCCGAAAACCGTTAATTCGTCCGGACCAGGCCTTACTTACGTGCAACGTGTTTCCGACATTTGCATCTGACGGCCTCGTCTCGTGACGAGACGGGTCGACCGGCCCTGACTCTACCTCGAGGTGGGGCTCTCTTATTGCTTTGATGAGCTGCTCGTGGATGAAACCGACGTCTAGGTCTTGAAGCACGCAGAGCTCGATGAATGCTCGTTGCTCCGCGTCAGTGACTCGGGTTTTTAACTGTTCAAAATTCATGGCTGAAACACAGACACGAGTGCGACGTCTAAAGCAAAAAAGGTCACTCGTGAAATTGACGTCGACTACAAATGTGATCGTGCACTATGTGCCCGAGTAGGGCGGGCTCGAACATGCGCAGATAATTATGTGACAACCTAAATAATTCAGTCACACCAGAGTGCAAAGGAGGAGAGACGCGACACCACCGTCGGGTCCACAAACTCCCAATCCGCCCGCTCGAAATAGAGAGACCCACAGCCATCACTTCCAGAGCATCTCCCGCCTCGATAATTAAAAAAAAACCGTCGGAACTCTGGAATCCCCCGGAGCCATCCACGAAACCTCCATCGAGGTGGGCATACGCACCCGGGTCGTCGACGAGCAGGTGCGTCGAATGCAATTGCTCATCTGTAAGGGCATCCGAGGGGGGGGGGGGGGGGGGGGGGCTGGGGGGGGGGGGGGGGGGGGGGGGGGGGCTATCGGCGCAACACGGGAGCAATCGAGCGGGGAAGACTCCATGCTCTCCGAATATATTCCATGAACATGGCTATAGCATCGAGTAAGAGATGAGCCAAATTTGTATTTTCGGCAAAAAATGGACAGAGCCATGAGATTCGGCGTAGAATGCAAGTCCACGGCGACGATGGAATGTCGCAATCTAGTCTGTAAGAAAGGGGAGCAGCTGGATTCTTTTTTGTTTTTTTTTTTTTCGTCGAAGGATCTCGAAACGCTTAAATTCGACACCTCATTTCATAATGGCCGCCTCGATAACGGAATTAACGGATATTGATCGACATGCATCGGATCCTTTTATCCTTAAACTCGTTCCGTTGCATGATGAGCGTCGATGGGAATGAGATTATCTCATAAACCGATTCCCAAAGGGGTCCGTGATGAAATTATATCGGCTTAAGTTAAGCGACGTGATACATGTGGCCCGTAATCTGATTCCCACGGACGGCGATGGAAGGCGGTCGTTCCCTGGCCGACACCGAAGCCTGTCGACAGAAGCCTTTTTTTTTCTTAATCGTCTGCGTCCGGTCGCACGAATGAGAGTAATCTGAGAGAAGATAGCTGCAGCCCGAAAGTGGGAACACAAAAGAGGCTCTCGAGTCGATAACGCTAATGGTTCCGCGTTTCGAGACGATTCACACCAAGGCCCGATTACGTGAGACAGGGGTGTCCAACTCGAATCGGTCGGCGAGCCGCATCCATAATTTCTCATCGAAACCTGTGCCGACAGTCAATTCGAGCGGAAATTTCACGAACAGTCGGCGGGCCGGATGAACCACCTCGGCGGGCCGGATCCGGCCCGAGGGCCGTATGTTTGACACCCCTGACGTAAGACATGCGTCTTCGACACTAAGGGTCACCACGAATCACCATATCGTCCTTCCCCCATACAGTTTCCCTCTTCCCCAGTTAAGTTCATGCTTCATCCGCAACAGAATACACAAGTATTCTGTTGCTCGATTGGCCTCGATCGATGAACCATCCTTCAAAAACCAAAAAAAATCCCACCAATTGTGACTGTGGTCAAATCACAGCAGCCGTAGCCAGAGCAAAACTAGCTTCTAGTTACGATTCTTCGTGAGAGAAGTACTTGTTTAGGAAAAACTGTTCACTACCGGCCGTGAAGTATTGGAAAGCAGCCATAAAAGTATGGGAGACGTGCTCACCGTTGGGATTGCAGACGCTTAAGGACCGAAGCCCCCTCGCTCCCCGAGACACCCGAGATGCGTCTCGCGTCTGCTGCAGGGAAAACAGATTCGGACAAGCACCGACGGTGAGCCGTCGTAGGAACTCCGTGGAGGTCGGGCGAGGTCTTCTCTCCGCTGCGATCGCTGACCCAGTGTCGAGTCGTCCGGGACCGAACGTGAAGTGAAAGAATTTTCAAGGTGACATTCGCCAGACATTGCCCCGAGGCATATTTCCAGACGATCTCCATCGATAGTCTTCCGCAAGGAAAGCGGCAAGGAAGGGGCTAGGCTTCGTTCCCTCTCTCGGATCTTCGTGCCGAAGTGGCTCTGGGTTCTCGGTCGTTCTCAGGACGAGGAAACCTCGTTTACGATCGTGTCTCATCAAATGAAGAAACGTCGTTTCTCGGTGCATGACCGTGAAGATTCCTCGTGCGGCCAAATTTCGACGAGTAGTTCCGCGAAATGGGCGATAATGAAGATGGCCTGCATGAAACCGAATCGCGGATCTCCGAGACGGAATTCGATTCTCTTTCAGTCCAACGAGCGGTCAGCGAGCGGTCAACGAGCGGTCAACGAGCCCGTGAAAGGGCTCCTCTTTTCCCCAAGAAAAAAAATCAGAGAAACCGGTCGAGTGTTTTTTCCGCACGCGCAGGAGCCAGGCACCTGCAGAAACCTGGGTGGATGTTTAAATTAAATATTTACTTCATCCAAGTTTAAAAAATAATCTCGATTTCGTAGATGAAACAGCCTATAAATAAGGACTCTGCCTCTTGTTTGCCCATGAACGAAAGCGAAAAGCATGTTTCATAATCATCGTTCATGCTCAAATTAAAATTCTTCCTCGATGTTTGCCTTCTTCGTAGTATTTTCGATCCTCTAACGTTCCGTTATCTGCAGCACTGACATCTGCAACGCATCTGCGTAACTGCACCAGCTGGGCGGCCGATTATTTCTGCACTCGCGAAGGACCTGAGAGGACCTGGTCCAGGCAGATACATCGTCCATGGAGAACGGTGCGGTTCGTGGTATCGATTCGTTGACTTCCATTCTGCCTCAGTTCTCACGTAATTTTTTATTTATAGCTGAATCAATGTAGCGGGAATCGATGAGTGGGTTATCCCCCAATCTAGAGTAGCCACTCGAATCCAAGGCCAACATACCAAAGGAGCCGCAACGAAACACATCACGTTTCGTGTCATTTTCTCGAAGTTGTAAGGTGTGAATGCGCCTCAACACGAAGGGATCCGCATTGAGGTGCAGAAGAGTGGACTTTCAAAATGGAAATGCTTGGTGCGTGTCCCAATTTCGCTCAGGGAAAAGGTTCATGCTCGGCTTTCTTCCATTTCAAGGAAATAAAGCACATTCTGACATCTGCATTTCTCGATACGATTCTTTCCTGATTCGCGTCAGAAATTTACGAAGACTGAGTTTGGAGCGCAGGGGGGAAGCGACGGGGTCGGACGCTGTGCTCGTCTCGTGCGATCGTCTTTCAAGGACAGGCTTTCGGTCAGAAGACAGATGAACAACAGTTTCTCTTTTATTTTGAAGAAAACATTTCAAAGTGAATGAGTATCGTATGGATAATGGAGTTATGAGAAGTAACGGGGTGGAGAGAGACACAGACTGGAAAGGGTCAAAAGGTTCAACGCGAAAGGGCATTGCAAAGAGAAAGAAGCATAACATCTCTTTGCATTTGGAATGAAACACCTCTGTAATAGAACAGGAGGGAGGGGGAGAGGAGGAAAAGATATCATATCACAATGTTGGAATAACAATCTCAATCATACGATCGTCATTGATGGAGAGAGTGAGAGAGCGAGAGAGAGGGAGAGAAACTGGAGCTGCTCTGAGACAAACCGAAAGGGAATGATGACCTTGAAGGGAAGAGCGCGTAGGGCGGAGGTGAACTGGGGTAAAGGTAGCACCAGATGTGGAGAATAGAATAATCTTATTGTACCTAACAGCATTTCTTGGAATCCTGGCTCTAAACTCGCTTTCAATGGACTTCAAGGGGCTTCTTTCATGGCATGACGTACGAAAGGGATTACTTCCGGCGTCACCATGAGACTCGCGAGTTAATTGAAATTTCTTAAGCATTCCCATGAAAAGGTCGGTTCACTTTTAGGGCGTTTTCCACGAGCTTCGGATGGAAGAGTCGGAGTCATTTGAAATCGAGGTCAGAGCCATTGCATGCTTGCACGGAGGAGTCGGTCGAATAATGTTCGTTACACTTTCTTATCACAATTTTGGAGAGTTCGCTATCACAAAATGGAACACGACTCTTTATCCGTTTCTGCAGACGTGTGAAAAGCAAAGACAGCTTCAACAAGGAAAAATGCATACGACTTGACAATCGAGGGTGGTATGATTCTGGGAAGGAATGAATGAATGAAAAAAATGGATCCTCTCCAAAATAAATAAATAATCACAAAAAATACCATCGGGTTTGATGTTCTCAGATATATGCAACACCTCTTCTTTTTCTATTTCTCGTGCCGCCTGATATGTGACTGATAACATTGGAAGATATTCTCAGATGGAAGAACACTGTCGTGCTGGTCGGACGATTCTTGATGATGTTTGAGATGATTTTTGCTGAGTTTTTGCCGAAGCAACGGGTTCATCGAGGGACAAACACAGAGGTGTCACCAAACTTTGGCACCTTGGACAGAGATAGAGAGAGAGAGAGAGAGAAGAGGGGAATACGTCGTTTGAGCTCAATGCGCTTGAAGCAGTCAGTCTCTCATTCCTTTTTCGAGTCTGAGAGAAAAAGAGCGAGTGAGTGTCGTCTTTTAATGTTCCTCTCATAGAGTGGATATCCTCATGACGTTCGGGTTCCCCGTGGATTCTGTCCCGATCTCACTCGGTTCGATCTTGTCTCCAGAGGTCAGGCGAACTTTGACCTCGTTTAACTCTTCCACTCCGCTGGCATCTGATTTCTCCTTCCCCTGAAATAAAAGGAAAAAAAAGTTGACGACTGGGAACCGTGTTTATCGGTATTTTGGAAATTATCCAGGTAAATAAGTTGAGGGCCAAAAAGTTTAACGATGCATTGTAAGTCAACTGAATCTGACCACGAAAATTTTTTGTTTGAAAATTTTGGAACAATATTTCATCAATTCGTCACCATTATTTTTATATGTGTACCAGCACAAAATTATATATTTTTGTAATTAAATATTGAAGATTGAAAGGATTTCGTGTTATTCCGGAAGTCAATGACAGTTCAATCCTGCAGATGCGTTTCCGTATAATGGAGTAATTTCAAGCCAACTTTCCCAAGGCTGGAAACTGAGAGATTACTGTGGGCAAACACAAAGCACGTGATATCAGGTCGATGAGGCGTTCTTCCGTTATTATATCTAAGGATACAAAGGGAGACTAAAAAAAAGTAAACCCCTCCCGTCATGGTTCAGTTGCGAGGATAATCATTTCTATTGAATGGTGGAAGTTTTATTAGGCATTGAAACAATGATTCGCTTCACCTTAGAACAAATATTCAGAAGCTATTCACTTATGCTCAGCCAGAGCTCTCAATCTATCGCGGCACTCTCCAATTGTTCTCTGGAAGACTCTCTCTGGGTGAGTTCCCAGCATCTCGAAATCTACTATTTTAAGTGTTTCAGATAGATAATATTCTGTTATTTATTGTTCCATCATGGCTCCTCAGGCAAAATATTCCACAGGATTTATGTCTAGACTCCGTGAGGGACACATAATTTTTTTCTTAAAATGTGAGTGAATCGCGTTGCACTGGATGTACACAACCTTGTTGCCGTGTGATTTTTCAGCAGAAAAACTTCTGATCAGAGACTCCGTATCTTATTTAGAAATGGTGTTGCAGTAGTATTGGCAATAAAGTTCAGAATTACCGCAACACCATCCTTGAATAAATCCAGTCTCAGATCAGAAACATAAGCAGAAGCAACATCTTTCCATACCAAGATGGTGTACCATCCCTGAATCCTGTGGCTAATTTTGTCATGGGAACCATGGTGAAAAAGTGCATTGCCAGAAAATTCGCGATTTGGAGCACTTGAAAGATCGAAGACTTTGAGAGCCGGGCAATCCATTTCCTTTAGAGAGCGTTGCAACGAGCAGTTGGCCGGCAGCGCGGCACAATGAGATCTGGGCGAGGAAGAGATCCATCCTGTTCTAGCGTGGAGAAAATCCAGTCAATAATAGTTATCGCGGGCATAATAGAGCCTTAACGGAAGGAGCTAACTTTCTTTGTGTTAACTTGTTCAGTGGAGCATGAAGTGCTTTGAGAGGAAAGATTTTTCAAACGACCCCGACCCAAGAACGAAGCGGATTTAAAATTCTCCTTCCCTTGCCGTCTCATGCAGCTCAACTTTTACGTTCTAATGCTCGCCGTAGCGCCCCACCCCCTACCCCAAACCCTATCTAAATAGATGGCCGAGTTTTTAAGCGGGTAGCAAGTTCTGCACGTTTCATTATTTGTTGCTGCCACGTAGCAGATATTGTCTCTACCTAAAGCTGGATGCGGGTGTGTACGTTGAAAATGGTCACGTGATTCTCTAGTTTTCGTCCTCTTCTTCCTCTCTCCCACAACCTCTCCCTCATCGGTATTGACGATTTCGCTTCGTACTATCTCGTCACCGTGTGTTCAACTGCCCTTTTCAACATTGTATCATTCGTTCGTAACCGATCCATCGAGTTCTAAGTTCCACACACTGCGTTAGTCTGCTTTTGGCACGAAAGGATGAAATCACGACATGAATTTCCTTCTAAGCACGGAAGAAGCAAAATGGCTTTTCAGGGGACTCACCTGTAGGAAGAGAGAGACAAAAAAAAAAGGACAGAAAAGGGGGAAAGCGGAAAGAGGAATAAAATGCATCGATCAAGGGAAGGGAAAGGGAAAAGCCGGATGGATAGATACGCGGGTATTTTTAGACTCCCCCCTCACCTCTTCCTCTTCTCGTCTGAGGGGAAACCATAGGACTTCGTCTCCCTCTCTCTTCGGGAAGAAATTCCCCCGGTCATTATTTATACGGGGGAGAGAGCAGCGGAGTTATATAAATGGTATCTTTCCGTGCAAGGGAGTATCCGTCCCGTCATCCGTGAGAGCTGGCTCCTACGTATCTGGCTCCTGCGTGCGTAGATCCTGAATTATTCCTTCTCTTACCTTTTCTCCCGATCTTCTCTTCGATCAATTTTTCAACACAGAAACCAATACAATCGGGCACCAGGGAACATCGCTCTTCCGATACGTCACTCGGGGCATTAAATATTTGCGGTTAGATGGAATGTAGGTAAGGTAATTAAGGTAATGGAGTATCCATAGTTTTCAGCGATCGGAAAGACTTGTCTTCAGCCTCAAGATCGTGGAGGAGCGGCATTCTCCCAAAGAATACATAAACATGCATCGAATCTAGATGTAGCGTGGCAGAATTTCGTCTCAAGTGTTTTGCCAGCATTTCCAGCAGTAGTTCGCAGTAATAACAACTGGCGGCATTTGGTATAATGCAATCATCGTGCACTCGGCATTCATGAACTCGTCGAATGTGGTCTCTACGTGATAACGCCGGTTCCAGATGCTCCACGGGACCGAATTACATGTAGGTGACTATTTGCATTGGATCGTGTACAACTCAAGCCAGCTGAGATTCCCTGTATATACAGTAAATACGCGAAATAATCCAAGAGGGTTTAACTTGGGTGCCATGTGCACGTGCCGAATCCTAAGGGTTTCATTTCTATGGGTCTGAGGAGTAAATCGATCAATCTTCCAAAAATGATATACAGAAGCGGGACTCGCCCTTTTCTTGTCAGAGTTCCCTTCTCTTCCTCGTTCCTTCGATACTTTCCTGCTTGGATCTGACAATGAGGGTATGAGAGAAAAGGATATCGGTTCGGGAATAGTTACCGCACGACAACTGAGAAAGCTTTTTCCATACTCCGAGGGCATTCAAAACGCCCTGGAATATCTCAGGAATTCACGTCAACATTCCAATACAACATCGAACATGATTACAACCACAGATGAAAGTTGAGCTGTTGAAGTATGGGAACGGCATAAACGAGGGGCGATGGGTTAAACAACCCCCTCCTCCTTCCCCCCCTCTCCCGCTGCTGAATCTCCAGTCGCCAGCGGTTGACTTTTCTTAATCGCAATATACGAGTACTTAGTCATTGTAGGAATCCGCTTCGGCAATAATTTTCAGGTTCTTGCATGAAGTAAGGGAAACGTTTTCCCACTCCCTCTTGGAAAGCTTGTCAGAACGCCGGTTCCACTCTTTTCTAATTTCGTTCTGCACTGATTACATACTTAACTTGAGACAAAAGTGAAAACCACGTGACGCAGGCTCAGTAATAAAAAAATGGCTTGGGCTTAGCTCCTGATATCACCCTTAGGTTCCATTTAATAGCTAGGAATCGAAATGTCAGGCCCAACAATAACTAACCATGATATTACCATGTGGACATTTGGGGCATCTATGCGACGCCTTCCTCATCCCCTCGTAGGCTAATAGAACAAGGAGATAGAATTTGCTTGTGAAGCGAAATGGATAGCAAGTTAGATCGTCGAGTCGCAGGCATAGGATTTAAGGTCCATGCTTATTAAATCGATTTCCTCAAAATTTTTCTGACCTTAAAATCAAATTACATTTGATATAGCTTCAGAGTCACATAATTCACGTTAAAGCAGCAACCCAAAATAACATCACACAGGAGGTTACATTGGTCTGAATGCCTTATAGCCACTGAGGAGAAAAAGAGGTTGACCTTGATAGGCCTGCGAGACACAAGCCAGGGGCAAGGGCAATAGCGAGTGCAGCAAGAGCAGAGTGGAGTCAACTCCTCGGTGGAGCCAAGGGGAGATGGACTTCCATGGGGTGACATGGATCCACGATGAGCATGTGAATGGGGGCCTCCGTTGAACGGCACCTCCATCTCCACAAATTCACGGTCCTGTTACGCAAACCATACACATAATTCATCAATATAAGTTTTATAAGAAAATTGAGAATGAATGCAAATGCATGCCGACACACGACCCCTCTCGGTCCATATCTACGTGATGCATGTCCTGTACTTAACTGTTTAGCGCCCCATGGAAATGTTTCTTTAAGTAAAAATATTTTCTTCTTTGCCAAATCCCGCACAACGATTGCTGGTTGCTCAAGTTGATCCCTTAAGTTAGCGCAATCAGTGAGAGAGATGAGGCTATCTACAGGACGCTAAGCGCGACAAAGGATTAAAGCAGACGAAGGCCGCAGGCGTGGCGAATGCGCGTGTATTCTTTGTGATGAGATGCACTGTCCGCCAATGAAATTGCATCACGAAGGAGTGGAGCGATATTCATTAAATTTAGTACACGAGGTTATACCAGTGTGTCATGAAATCAGTTATCGTTTCGAGGACGTAGGATGATTCCTCAGAGAGAAAACTCGTGAAATGCCCTCATGTGACTGGTAGGCGAGGGGATCCTTCTAATCAACTTAATGAAGCATCCAGAGGAATTTTATCGATGAAATGTGGAATGGGAACTCCTAACGGTGTCTAGGAAACTCGAGGAAAGTTTGAAGGCGATGGAATGAGGCGATGCAGAGAGCACTTGACAAACGCACGAGGCATGGAAGAAAGGAAGGAGAAATTCCTTCACTAATGAAGGCATTTTTTTCTTTTCTACTTTCCAAAAGCCGCTTCGCCGTTCTCGAGAGTACGACCGAACCCAGGTCGAAACTATGCTTCCGAACTCAATTTCGTCAGCTCTTTCGTGCATTTCATCGACGTCGGCAGATTTGGATGCATCAGGTCGATGCATCATGTTGACAGACGCATCGCAATCGGGAGTTCTTATTCCACATTTCGTAAATTGATTCCGTCTGGGTTAAACTTCTGGACAGTTCAGGGGTCGCCTCGGCCCACGATTGGCACGATTTACCTTTGAAATGCACTGCACCCGTATCTTCTGAGCGTGGTACAAAGAACGGCGTGAGTTAACGTGAGTTAGGCAGGTAATCTATAGAAAGCAGGTGGGTCGTTACCTTCGGGAGGAAAGGGTCCGCCTCCGCCGGCATTCCCTCGCTTCTCGGGTTAGAGTCTCAAGCTCGAACGAGTGTGGATTGAGATCTCAAATTAACCTCTACCCCCAATCTAACATAGGCCTCCTTCTCCGTAGTAAAGATAAATGTTTTTGTTAGGAGCGTGTCAATCTCCTGCGTAGTTTCTTACTCCTGTATTGCTTCCCTTTTCAGTGGCTCGGCCATGAAGGCCTCTAAACCTCTTCTTAAGGCCACTGCATCTTCACCCAAGACGCATGCCACTTATTCACTAACCAAAAAGCATAAAACTTATTCCATAAAGTTTGACTTTCACTGGAGGTTTGCATAACGTGTGGCAGATTCCCCCCCCCCCCCCCTCAGTTCTGATATTATCGTGAATTTGAAATGACCTATCACGCTCCACGTTCTCAAAGCCTTCAATAATTTTGAATTCCTGGATGAAATCCACCCCATTAACTTTCAAACGAACGCAGCCCGATGCATCTCTACGTCGCTCATACGGAAGCTTACGGGACAATCTTATCAGTTTAATTGCCCTCTATTGAACCCCTCTCCGATGCCACTAAATACCACTAAATGCCTTTACTGCCAGGCTTTTCAACGGAACGCAATATTCTCCACGAGGTCTTACCTCTGCCATGCACAACGTAAGAATAGCCCAGAAGTTATTGGTATCTGAAAGCAGCATAAGGCCCAAGATCCTGTCATGTTTAGCTGCCGTCATTTTCATGCGTAAAAAAGGACCCAATGGGACGCTGACTCCTTCCGCCGACATGTTGACATTGAAGAAAATGTTGGGATAATTCTTGGCATTAAGATAGTGAACCGACATTTCTCGCCCCGTTCGCCTGCAAGCCTACGTGAATCTCATTTCTGCTCCTTCCGCCTAATTAATGACTCGATGTTACGTGCAAACCAGACTGGATGATTAATCATGCTGTTCCACTTCTGAGGGAAAAATCGTTTGCAAAAACTCAACAGACCGTCAGACCTGAAGCGAATCCCCTTTCGCCTGGTGCAATCCGCTTCCCCACGGTCATACAAATCCTTCGTCGGCTTATGGCTTATGGCTTATATTTGCGTCTCGTCCGTGTATCATCCCGCGTTATTGCGCAATGGTCCGAGTCACCAATTCATCTACACCTTTAGCATGAAGCACTAGATAATCACCAGTGGTCGCTTAATGATCCAGATCGATTTCGAAGAATTGAAAATCATCTCAGTGTAAAATTCACAGTCACGACTCCCTGGATTCAGGCGATATGGCGTGACTTCAGCGACTTCGAGTGAAATGCAAATGAAGGACGGCTAAGGATCTACCATGTCGTTCAAATAAACTGATGGAAATTCGATTCTCTCTTCAACAGGGTGTTCCGAAAGTTTCTGACCCACTAAAATGAAGATGGAGACGAGATCGACGGGGATATATTGATTTAATTACATTCCACATGGCCAAGAATAGCCAAGGTACCAAATCCTACATCAATACTTGATATGATTTCCGCGGCCCTCAAAGAAATCTTGGATCAGCGTCCCGAATCTCTCAACCAACCGACGGATGACGCTCGTCACGTTTGTTTCTCATTCCACTTAGAGCCCCGGTAATGACTGACGCCTGATTTATGGGGTGGGACTGACGCAGAGCACTCTACTGGAACCTGTGCCACAGGTGTTTCGGATGCTGAGGTCCGGACAGTTCCTTGGTAAATTCTTCGAGACATGTATCATATTCTCTTGAATGGCGCGGAATGCGATGCAAGCCTCCGAGGCATGGACCTCCGTTCTGCATCAGCACAGCCTTTTCTTGGTCTGAGCAGATCGCCCGGATCTTCATGTAGCCCGTGTAGATAAGCAGAATGTTTTCAGTGAAACTGGCATAGTATTTAGCCACATCTTGTGTGGGTGTGTCAAAAACTTTCGGGACACCCTGCCAATACGGAGGCAAGATGCCTTCCAGATTAAAAAAAAAAAAGAGAAAAAATTCGGACTGAGTGAGGGGTTCCACGTATGTCAATACATAGAAAACGCCAAGAAAATGCCGTCACTTCATAGGGAATTCTCTGAATTCTTTCAGTATTCATCGTGAGTTCCAAATTCGGCAACAGTGACGATTGGGCCTTCTGGCATGAACATCTCTTGCAATCACGGACAAAATTCTCGGGCAGTTGTGGTATAGGAACTTCACTTTCCGCGGCTATGGATCTTTGCGTTGTTCTCAACATGCAGCACAGAACGAGCTTCCTGAAAAGCATGAGAAACTCCCTCTCCCGATTAAATTCCTTGCACGGCACTGGCCAATTTATACCAGAAGTTTCAAGGAGCGAAACCAAATGAGACTTCTCGCTAATACACCATTTCAAGTTAATCCCGAGCGGTTACTGCAAAGCTGCACGACCACATGACGTGAGTGGAATCGGATTGACCAAAGGGAAAGGAAATTTGGCATCGTACAGCCTGAGAACAAGGAGAGGGGAAATTTCTATGCCCCGTCGTTTCTTGCACAGTAAGCAGCGCTTGAAAATGCATGGACATGTAGGAAGGGGGATAGGGTTAGTAGTGTTTCGCTCACATTGGGCTCAATTTCTACTCTGGGAAATGAGTCTTCTGTTCCTCTGCTGTCTCGTCCCAAGCTTGAACTGGAGATGCTTGAAGATGCCATTTACCAAAGACTTGAATCGGATTAATCTAAAAGCAAGCACGGTCAAACTCGCACAAGCACGGGATCTAGAAGCAAGACTGTCTTTAAAACCTATTCCGCAGAGAATTCGCGAAGAAATTCTGGTCTCCGAACGTGACAGATGAGCCTAGTATTGTCAACTTCACGGAATCAACAGGCAGGAGATATAAAATTCCACCAAATACAGGTGGACTGATTATGGAAAGAGACAAGGGAGAATCACCGTCAAAAGACGAAAGGAAAGGAAGAACGCGAGAAGAATACTCTAGGAAAAATGAAGCGAATGATAGAAGAATGGAACGAGTTTCCTATCTCCTTTTCCACCATCAGCGAATAGGACGTGCGCGCCCTTTTCACCCTCTCTTTAACTCAAAAAGCTGTCTGGATGCAGAAGGATATGAGATAGCATGAACTTTTCCCATTCTCTTGTCCTTATCACAGCCATATCGTTAAGGCCTTCATTCTGGGCGACTCCCTTCCGTGCACATTTTGCGGTGTTGGACGACATCAATAACCGTCAAAGATGAACTTGAAACGATATATAACTTACAAACCTATAGAAACATAGGATATCCTCTCTAGTATATCTTTTACTTCAAAACAAAAAAGTTCAATGACTTGACTTCCGTTCTTTCCAGATCTTCAGTCATATTAGGCTTTCTACAACAAGTTGAAGTAGAGGCCAAAGTTGAGATAAACCATAAACCTTTTCCTAAAACGAATGGTTGACGGCAGATGCTCGATAGGATTCTACAATCTCGGGCTGTAAATTTGCAGCTAACCCAGAATTGACCACATCTAGCATATAACATGATTACTTCCACTTTTGCCCCAGAGGAATACCGCCCTCGCCTTTCGATCGACGTGTATCTCAAATGCGATTAAGCATTTGACGCACATGCGGTTCGGATCGTGCAGTGGGGGAATTTCCAAACGTAATTAGTGACAGGCAAGATGAACCACGTCGGCATGTTTGCCTCAATCCGTAAACGGGTTAGGCACTGCTAAATACGATGACGGTGATAAAAAGCCGAGCTAGTGCCACGCTGGAAGATCGAGACGGAGTCTCCCGGATCTCTGGGCGCCACTTTCATAACGAGAACCAGATGCGTGTGAGGAAACGGTTATTCGTCATGTGCATGGTGTTGCCACAAAGCGTACTCCGAGATACCGTCCATGCCCAACTGGAAAATCTTTGAAATTGCACAACTTAAAAGCAAGTCATGCTCGAGGCTGCCGGTGCCACACAGGAAAAGGAATTGCAGGAACTCGAGGCCCATATCGGTTCTAGTCGAGGGTCGGATCTGCTGCGCTCTCAACCGATTACTAACAAACGAGATCGATCTGAAACGGTATTCCTTTCCGTTATGGGGTACATACATAACCCATAGTAGTCTTATCCTGGCAATCGCGTTTTATGGGACGGACTATTTGGATTAATGACCAACTTTAGCACGACCTTTCAATTGCATTTCATGCGCAAAAATCCACGAAATCAAGAAATCAAGAGTAGAGACTCGTATGAAATTGCTCCCTGCTCTTTCTCTTTCTCTTTACGCAGCATCAAATGCCTAAATTTCCAACCCCTTATCTTTCATCTCAGAGCTAATGAAAGTCGAAGTAATCCTAATTGCATCATAACTCATTTTTAATATTCTTTCTTCAACTGATTCATTTTCGTGCGTACGCTTCACGCTTTCGCGCAGCAGCACCTAAGCCTACGCCTGCGGTTTCCATTTCCTATCCCCCATACGAGTATTTTTGAGGTACAGGTACCCTGGACTGAGCCGTTCATAGTAGCTGCCCCCATCTGGCCCCCTCCTCCCCCTCCCCGACCTACATGACTAAAATAGATCGAATCTCCACCGCCATGGTTTCCCCCTTTGAGAAGTGAATGTTATCCTTTCCTTATCCATTGAAAGTGAAATCGCGTCGTCGCCCTCGCCCCAGACCTCGCATCACGACATGCCTTAATGGCGTACCTGAGCTTGAAGATGATGTCTTAGATTTGGGTCGGGTGATCAGATTTTTCCGGCAAAAACCGGGACATCGTCTGTAAATTGGCATCTAAAGGTCACTTTGCATGCCGAAAAACCGGGACACAAGAGGGCAGATAAGAATGCCTTCCTCTGCCGCTTTCAATCTATGCTGAGTGAAGTGCCGCGGAGGGCGGCGCACCGAGTAAAGGAGCAACTGGGCAACCGAGAAACTCTTGTTAAGTTGCTACTTACGTCTGCGCGCCGAGGGGCCAGGCAGCTGACCTCGCCACCTGATATTTAAAGGCAGTCACACCAAGCAACCCCCTCTAATAATACTTCGATTCGAATGCAAGTCACCATAACTCAAGAACTTTCGTAAATGAACAAAAAATAAAAAACTCTCAAACAAATTCATAACTCACTCCTAAGGTAACGCAATAATATCATCACGAATACCTTAATCTACAGCTGGGCTTGCTTTCAAGATTCAAGATAGTTAATGATATCAAGAGGCGATTTCACCCATTTCAATATCACATGTCGAGGTCGAGCGTTAAAGCTAATTATTTATGTATTTTTGTTTTGTTTTGCTTTTTTATTTTTTGGTTTTTGACTATCCTAGTTGCTTACTGTCTAATACCTAAAGTCAACATTGACCCCCACCTTTTTGCTTGTCCATGAAAGCATCCAGTTTCTTCTTAAAGATAGTCACAGCACGGGGCACCCATTACTTCGTCATCTAATGCATTCCACGCATTCACCACTCTGCAAGTAAAGAATTCCTGTCTCGACCTGAGCCGCACCTGCGGTTTGCGCAACTTAAGTTGGTTACCACTCGTTCTCTTGCAGCCATCAAACTTCATCATTTCCTTCTCTTTCTGTATTTTGGCTATTTAGACTTTCATATACGTGCGACGTGCGCTGTACGACCGACTGCCGCGTGAAATGCGGCCGTCTCACGTACAATGTACGACTAATGTAGCTTTAACTTTCTGTACCTCGTCCGTTGAGATTTTTTTTAAATGTAAGAATTGAGGGTGTCATATGAACCGTGAAATTCGAAACTCAAATTCCAAATCCAAGTCCAATTACAATAACAGAAATTACGGCCGTTTAAGTGAGAAGGTGCTTTCTAGCCATTTAAATCACAATCTCCTCCGGAATCAGGTTATATAAACGGATTTAAATCCTACATACTGAAGGTGAGCAAGCTCAAGGATTACTTTCCAGGAAATAAATATCCTTTGAAATGAGTGTGGGCTCTACAGTCTAACAGGGGCTTCACCACGCCCCCAAAGATGACGACTGGTTAAAACGTTGACAACGTCGGCGGGTAAGGAAAAAAGGAGACTGTGTCGAGAAGTAAGTTCTCGTCGTTCTGCAG